ATGTTTCCTATCACTTAGCAATACGACAAAGGCTTCCAGGCCAATAAAGCTCAACTTTTCCATCCAAGGGGGCCCCACACCTGGTTGCAGTGGCAGAAGAATTTCACAGGTCAGAGCCTCACCCTCATGACAGGTCTAGACCTACTTGGGTACTTAAAAGTCCTGTCAATGCAAATACACTCAAAAGCTTTGTTGCTTTCCAGGAGTCAGGCTGACTGTGCTTGTCCTGCAGCAATTTAGGCAGCCTGGACCTGGTATTCAACATGCTGAAGTTGCTGAAGGCCTCGCAGGAAGGCAGCTGCTGGAGCTGGCTGCCATCTGTAGCAATTAGGCACTGCATAGACCTGTTTAGGTTTCGGGTAGTATGAGACTGCTTAGGCCTTCTGTACACAAGACACTGATCATGGGTGAAAGAGCATGAGAAGGCCACAGTTAAAACAGCAGCTGGTGCCTCTTTGGCTTGCAACCTTTGCCAGAAATTGCTCTCTTTAAGTTATCTTTTAATCTCTAAAGAAAACTTCAGAGGATAAATAAGCCCAAAAACAAACACACCCAAATGTCACTGCAGGTAAGTTACTTATGCATAGTTATCAAATATTCCACTAGCAACATTATGGAGAGCAAACAGTTTTCTAACACTGCCTGGATTTCAAATTCTCCTATGTCAATGTGGAACATAAAGTCTTTTCAGTCAGGAACGTATGAATCTTGGACCCAGTAACCCTCCCTTGCCAGGTAATCCTCTCCTGCTAGTTGATGCCCTTGCAGGACCACCGAGTAGGGCAACACATGGCAATTCATATGAATTACTGTCTTCCAAAACTGCATTCCTTCCCAGCTGCCACCTGCTGCTCACCACCCTGAAATGGATGTTGTTCATATGATTCCCTGTTTCACAGTCTCTTTCTTAAACAATACAGTAAAAAGCAAAGCTTCTTTGATGTCCACATCTGAGGGTGAGTAAGGATTAGAATTTTCTCCAATGCATGTAATTTTTTTGCACTGTTTATTACGTAACCACAAGGGGAAAGGCTCATTTGAGGAAAACACCCTGCCCCTTGCCTTTCCCTCCACTAATGCATTAATAGCACCAAGGGTCTCTGTATCTAAGTGCTTGCAGCATCCCCAAAACTACTGAGCTGACTGCCAGTCTTGTCTGCCACATAAAAGAGGAAACAGAAGAGCTCTGGTAGGCCTCAAACATGCCAGTCCAGCTCCTGTGGAAAGGAAAAGGTTAAGTGAACACCAATTGTAATATATGCTTCTGGAAGGGACTTTGTGTCTTGATTAAAGCCAAATAGCAACCTTTGAAGTATAATGAGAGAGGGGGAAAGAAACCACATCCCAAAAATGCATAATCATATTCCTCGCTGAATTCACAGGACCAATGATACAGACTGTGCTGTAAGCATGGAAAATCCTATTGTATGCAACAGACATATAATAGAAAAAAAAAAGAAAACAAGCTAATGAAAGAAACTCACCTCAGCTTTGTTCTGTTTCTCTTCGTATTCACTCTGTTCCTTTTCCATACCAACCAGCTTAATCTTCAGGTCTGAAACTTCAGCCATTAGATCTAATTTCTGAGTCTCTAGTGATGTTCGACTTAGCAACTCCTGAGAGCAAAGCAGAACATTTTCTCCAGTTATTTACTTGAACACTGACAGAATGCTATGTGATTTACTGGCAGACCCATAGCAAAGTCTCTAGTGTCTACCCTAGTGTTTAAGGCCTTCCATATGAAAGCAAAATTATTCTCTTCAAAAGTCACACTTGCTACTGCTTAACAATGCAAAAAAAGCAGCAAGATAGATCTGATGTAAGCATTTACTGCAGGCAGCAAAAGTAACTAAAAAAAAATAAAATTGATTGATTGGCAAATTCATATGAAAGCAAATTTCTCCACCTCTCTTCACAGTGTGTATACTTTGAACTGTGCGTTTATTGAGTTCTGCAGCTGTTTTCACCTACACTTTCTACTGTGTTAATCACTAAACCACTGTGTCCCCCTCCCCTTTTTAAGAAAATATGTGGCAGAGTTAATCCCTGGCCAAGATATGAAATCACAAGACAATGCTAAGGCTAAACAAACACAAACCTACATAATGCCATAGAGACCTTCACATGACACACTACAAAACAGCTGACTACTCCCCAAAATATTCAGCAGACAGACCTATGTTTTAGTATTACAATGAAACATTTTAGAACTTCTTATCGTGTGTTATTCAATAAAAGATGTATTACAGAATGAGCACCCTAACCAAAATAGAGTACCAAAGACAAGCAACATGGCTGCAGTCATGCTCATAGTACTTGAAAGTTTACATGATGTAGTACTTAACTACTGAAGGCTACACACTCTGGAGGGAACAGCACTGAAGGAAAAGTGGTGTGCCCTGACCGGAATCTAAAAAGCAACGTCCAAACCGAGTAATAGTGAGAACAAGAAATAACTGGACATGACTTTTGCTTGTGTGCCCCGAGTTTGTTTTTCAGACTGCAGAAAAGACATACTTTGGGCAGGGTGATATCACTGTGTTTGGAAAAAATTCAATATTCACACCTTCATTACATCTTTCAGTTTTCAAGAAAGCCAAAGCAAAAAGTCTCCCGAATTTAACAGAGTGTGTTACACATATAAAATGCTTGTCAGCCTCCATTTGCAAAGATAAAATAAAAAAAAATAATAAAAAAAATCCATTCAGGAGTTTGAGCCCTACTGAAAAATCAATACCTAACTTTCCAAGTGCCTAACAGTTTGGTGGTTTGGTTTTTTTTGTTTGTTTGTTTGGTTTTTTTCCAAAAACCATAGGTTTCTAAACAGTTAAAAATTTTATGATAATTCATAACTCACATTCATATTTTGATCATATGAAATGCACTGAGGAATCACAGCAAATTGTGCTTTGAATTACATGGAAGTGACTTAACTAAAGTTGTCACAGTTATTCTGGATCCACACTGATGCTACTGAGTGATCAGAAACTGCCCTGTTCATCACTCCTTTCTCATCTCTTCCACAAGCTGTACAGTATGTTGTAGAACATGGGTTGGAGCCAAGGAAGCCACAAAGCTTATTTTTAAAATTATACCGTTAAAGTTTATTTGGAACCCAGATCTGCTCTACATGTAAATTGTTTTAGTCTGGTGGGGAATACTGCCCAAATTAAAAATAGTACTAAACTTGCATCTGTATTGCAACACCAATTATCTAAGCCACTCACTATTCCCAGTGCCAT